TCAAGTTTGGCCTAGGACATATACAACTTGCGCTGAAGACGTCGAGCTTCAACTTCTCAGGTGCACTGTATATTTTTATCCCTGCAGTTTCCATTTTATTGCTTTTAGACAAAAGAATTTTGCTTGTCCCTAGGTGAGATTTTATCATCCTGGTTTTATCATTTATTTTTTACTCCTTTCTCAGATAGATACCACTGAAACACGCCCAAATAAAATGCCTTCAACTTATTTATTTTATAGGTCAAAAACAAAAGGACAAATATATTAAGAATTCACTAGCGGGAAACACTTAATATATAGCCATCAGAGTTTAACAGTGGTTACCTTGGGCAAGAATGGAGTCCTGGTATGGCACTGTAGGATAAGCACTGGACCACAAGGTCGGTTTTCATGACAGGGTCAGTGGTTCAAACTCACCAACAACTCATCAGAAACACTATACAGGGTTGCTATGAGTTAGAACCAACTTGATGGCACTTAACAACAACAACAACCATGGGCAAGAAGGAAGGCAAAAAAGGGAAATCTTTGTCTAGCTAGCATTAAATTTTTATCTATGACAATTGAAAATATGATCATGGATATCAGTGATGGTTCTGCGATATGATTGTCTTCATTGGTTTCATTGAGTTGTACATGTGACAAATGTTGCATAATATTGTGTTTTCTATATTTCTACAATAAATAAATAAATGCAGTATTGGCTAAAAAACTTATTTATGTTACAAATCAATTATCTCCTCAAAATTTATTCAAATAATTCAATGGACAGCTTTGGGTTCACTGATCAGGGACAAAAAAAATAGAGACACTAAGGCATTTTTTACCCCAAATGCTGTATTTTTCTGAAAGCAAATCCATTGCAATGCACACACATCTTTCTTGATAATCATAAAAATCAGCTCACTAACTGATTTCATACCAAGTTCACTTTTTTTTTTAAGATTTTAGAAGCTTCTCCAAGGAAGACCCTAAAACTCTGTAAATGACAAAATGTCTGCTCTAGCACTCATAAAGGCCTCAGAAGGAAACGCTGTCAACCATTTTGATTAGGTATTAATTCGAATCCAATTAAGGCCATTCAGGTCATTCTCTCATAATTATTCAGTATCATTTACCTCATCCTCAAAACAATAGAGGCCCTTTTTCTTTCATAACTTGGGGGCAGATCTCTAAAACTGAACAATGCTTTTGTTCTTGAAAAGTTACAAGATTGACTCTCAGAAGTGAATGTCTGGCAAGGATGGCCGTGAGGGTTCCAACACAAGCATCCTGTTAGGATGACTGCACTATCTCAACAGCCAGAACATGCATATTTCAGTCCAGCTGCAATTTGCAAACACATTCCAAAATACTGTCAAGTAATGTCTTCCTTCTACCCCTACATACAGTGGAAATGCTACAATGAGTTCAGTAACACTTTTAAAGGTATATTTCTTGTTTATTTTTTTTTTAACACAACAGCACCTAGACATATTATTTATGCCATATATTCTGTTGAAGATAAATAAAAATTGAAATGCATTATTTGGTGTGTTTATGGACTTCTACAGCCCACAGCCAAGGAACTTCAGGCCTTAAGTGTGCATACATGTTTCATAGTGTTATTGTTGTTGTTAAGTGACACAGATCGGTTTTGACTCATAGTGACCCTGTTTAGGGTTTCAGAGGAGTGGCTAGTGAATTTGAACCGATCTTGCAGCCCAATACATTAACCAGGAGCACCACACCAGGACTTTGTTTCATAGTGTAGTCCTCTCATAATAGCTCAGTGTCTTCTACTTTATCATTCAAAAAGAGAAGTGCTCTATCTTGCATAACGCCAAGGACAGATCTCAAAAAATTAACAGTAATTTTGCTTCTGGGTATAGACAACATTATAAGCAAACCACATGAGGAAATGAGAAAGGTTGGTTTGAGTGAACATTTACTAACCTAGATTTCTTTTAATAGGGAACTGAATATATTGGAAAGCCCCTAAGCTGCTATCAAGAAGATGCTTGGGAGATGAGGCCTGTTGAAGTAACAGGTATATACTTCGTGTGCATGTCCCCCAGGGCTGCCTGGCCCAACCAGAGCACTCCAGGGAGGATGGAGAAGTCAAGCTGGTTGGGATCCAAATGCTGGTCTCTTCACTACCACCATGTGACTGTGAGCAAGTTAATTCACATATCTAAATTTCAGGTCCATTTTAGCTGCTGCTATTGTTAAGTGCTGGTGTGGCACTGTGGGCTAATGCGTCAGACTACAAACTTGTTTAAACTGTAAGGTGAGTGGTTCAAGCTCACTAGCTGCTCTGCATCTTGGAATCCCAATACAGAGTCGCTATGGGTCAGAACTGACTGGATGGCACTTAACAATAACAACATCATTAAGTGATGTCAAGTCAGTTCCAACTCAGACACCCTGTATCGGGTTTCTGAAGAGCAGCTGGTGGGTTTGAACTGCTGACTTTGTAGTTAACAGTCCAGTGCTTCTCCTATAGCACCACACCAGGATAATAAGATACTTCATGGTGAGATCGTTGTAGAGACGGAATGAGAGGATCCATGCAAAGTGTTCCATAAAGTGCCAAACCTGGAGAGAGGGAGTGTCCGGTGAGCACCAGCCCCACTATTGCCATTCCTTACTCTGCCTGAAGGTATTCTTTGGGTCTCCACCATCTCATTTCTTAGAAGCAGCAGGAACTGTAGGATAGGAGTGTGTTATTGTCGCTTTAACAAAAAGAGTACAAATGGGTGTCAAGAACAGAAATTTATTTTCTCAGAGATCAGGAGGCTAGAAGTCTGAATTCAGGATGTGGCTCTAGGTGATCCTTCCTTGTCTAGTTCAGTTTCTAACCAACCAGCCAACTAGTTGCTCTCAAGTCAACTCCAACTCATGGTGACCCAAGTGTGTCAGAGTAAAACTGAGCTCCCTGGGTTTTTAATGGATGTTGTTTCATAAGTACGCTGCCAGCATTTTTACCAAGGCTCCTCTGGATGGACTCGGACCGCCAATCTTTCAGTAAGCAGCCAAGCACACCAATCCTTTACCCAAGGACTCCATTTCACCTTCTAATAGTTGGCCCTCTTTGGAGTTCCTGGGCTTGTGGATGCGTTTTCTGAATGTGTCTGTCTATAAGACCTCGTCCCCCTATGGGTGCCTATTCTGCTTCTTCTATAACTTAGAAATTATTAGGTTTAGGGTCCACCCTATTCTGGTATGAGGCCTACCTCATTAACATAATAAAACCCTATTTCCACATAGGATCTATCCCCATATGATGCAGAGTAGAACTGCATTCCATATGGTTTTCAAGGTCATGGCCTTTGGGAAGCAGATTGCCAGGTCCTTCTTCCAAGGTACCTTGCCCAAACTTTAAGTTAGCAGTCCAGACCTTAATTATCTGTGCCACCCAGAGGTTTGTTGTTGTTGTTAAGTACCTAAAAGTCAGTTCTGACTCATAGAGACATATAGAGTTTCCAAGGAGTGGCTGGTGAGTTTGAACCACCGACCTTGTGGCTCAAACTGACCTTTCGATCCAGTGCTTTATCTCACAGTGCCACACCAGGACTCCCTCCATAGGTTGATGTTGCTGTTAAGTGCCGTTGAGTCGATTTCAACCCATAGCAACCCTGTATAGGGTTTCCAAGGAGCAGCTGGTGAGCTTGAACCACTGACCTTGCAGTTCAAACAACTTTGCAGTCTGATGCATTAGCCCACAGCGCTACACCAGGACTCCCCCTCCATAGGTACAGGGGCATAAATATTCAATACATATTTTGGGGAAACATAATTCAATCCATAAGAGACTAATAGGACTACAGATATAATGACTGACTAGTGTGGCGCTGTGGGTTAATGCGCCAGACTGCAAAGCCATTTGAAATGCAAGGTCAGCAGTTCAAGCTCAAAACTTTCTCCTTGGAAACCCTATACAGGGTCGCTATGGCTCAGAACCAACTCGATTGCACTTCACAACAACAACAAGGCTTAGACTAGACTAGAGGGGGCAAAGCTACACAGTGGACAGAAAGGAATACCTGAGCCACTGAGCAGCTGGCCCCCGCAAGCCTCACTCTGGCACAGCAGTGAGAGGCTAGATCTTTTTACAAGGAGTTTGGCAGGTGGAGATATGAAGGACCACTCTCTCCCTATCCCGTCCCTTGAAATGGAGCTGGTTTAAAAAGCCCAGACATTTAGAAGAAGGGTTTCAAATTAATTGGGAAGGCTGACACTAAAAGGCAAGGAGATTTTCAGGACTCAACCCAGCTTAGAATTTATTTCACCCTTTGTAGCAGTATCTTTTAAACTGGAGCAGTCAAATCAATGAATCTGGAAATCACTTTAGTAGGTCATGACCAGAAGTTTCCTTAAAAAAATTAGCACTATCAGAATGAATTGCAGATAAAAAGGATGAATACTTTTCATGAAACTTCTGCGTTGGTTAACTGTGTGTGTATATATAAAGTGTGAAACAATTTCTTTTATTGTGAGTCAGAGTCAGAAATTTGAGCAGCACTGCTCCAGAGAAAGTAGCTTATGGTTGACCTTAACTCTCTAACCAAGGAGAACACAGCTTTCCTAAGGAAAATGAAAGGAGCCTTGGTGGCTCAGCTGCAAACCGAAAGGTCCACAGAAGAAAGATGTGGTAGTCTGCTTCCCCCAACTATCAAGCAAAGACTACCTAAAGCTCTCCATATTGGGTGTTTAAGTTCCAACTTGTTTGGAAGATTGGAGGATTGCCATTGAAATGATCAGGAGTTAAGAAATTAATACCTTTCTGTTGTTCCCAGACCCAGCTTCACATATAATGTGATTTAGATGACCATGTATCACTTAATTCAGAATAGACATATACTCTCAGTTGTTTAAGGTTTTTTTGGCTGTTCCTTTTGGTGACTAATAAAATTAGCAAACACAACTGAATACTAGACCACACAGAGCTTCAGTCATAGCATTACCCATCATGGGAAAAAAATTATTGAACACCCTTTAAGTTTTTGTGCTGTTCTCACCTGCCGAGCAGTATAGCTTCCTGAGGATCCTGGGTACCGTTCGATCAGCAATGGTTTTAAGTCATTTTGCCACATTTCAGAAATATTGGTGCCTTCTGCAACTCGTTGAATAGATGATGAATTCAAAAGGGCTGGCTGGTGATAGTTCTAAGGATTAAATAAAACTGTTTTAAGGCTAGGATTTCATATTTTTAAGACTTACTCTGAGCCATTTCTAATTGGAAAAAAAAAAAAAGTTTTGCTTTGAGCCTAAAAATAAAAAGATAACTTTTATGTCATCTGAGGTACTTAAATTTAAAATTAATCCTTTACATGGAGAACATTGAATTAATTGTTTTGGTTACTATTTTTAAAAAATAATTAGCCTAATGATTTTAAAATCAATAAACCTTAGAATTAGTAGTTGACATATATTACCTGTGCTGTTTTCCATGACTGCTTTGCAAAGCTAAGGTTTAAGAACACCGATTGCTGTTCTCCTGTTCTTAAGAAAACCCAACATTTAAAAAATTGCAGTCAACAAAGCAATATACTTCATGAGCATTAATGTTTTATTGAAAACAGTGTGATGTTGCAGAGTAAGCACTGTCCTGGGTCAGAGAGGAGTCCTTGGAAAGTGCAAATTGTGAACATGCTTGTCTGCTAACCAAAAAGTTAGAGGTTCAAGCCCACCTATGAGTGATTTTTGATACATTGAGTAAAATAATCCAGCCAATGAAAAGCCTATAGAGGATTATCATGACTAATTATGACTTTCACAACTGTAAAGGTAGAAGTTTTGTGACATAAAACGGGGTGTAGTTTATCTTACATTCTGGGAACAGAGGACCTTAGGACCATCAAGAGAGAAAAGCATGTGCAGAACGTGGGATCTTAACCAGAGAAGCAACAACACCAGAGATGGAGGCAAAGGTGATGGCATAGAGACATAAAGCAGCTGAGGACTCTAGACTCATGGAGAGAGAAAGGCTGGGTGCTGGCAGTCAGGAGGCAGGTTTGCAGAATGTGCCCTTTGGTTGTTTAAACAATTATATGTTCCTGCATGGTTTGTGTACATTAAAAAAACAGAGGGAGTAGAAGCAAATACTGTTAAATGATGATGCATGGAGTGGACTGTAATCATTGCAATGAAACAAAATATGATAGGATGGATGCAAACCTGATGTTCTGCCATGTAAACTTTCACTCCATTCACAATAAAAGCTTTAAAAAACAAAAAAAAAAGTCCATGGAGAAGTTATAGACGGACTCATATAGGATCACCATGAGTTGAAACTGGCTTGATGCCAACTGTTTTTTTTTTTTTTTACTGGTCGGGGTCAGAGACACTGGATTCAAAACTGACTTTCAATTGCAGGTAGTTCTCAGTTTACACCAGGATTCCATTCCAAGGACTCCCTCATAGTTCTGATTTAAGTTGAATACTTCTTTTTCATTTCTCATGATTATTGCATTTTATGAACAGCATTTTCATAAAGTCAATCTTTATATGTCTTTGGGTGCTGGAAATATTTCATATAAACTTACAGGTATATTTTAATACATATATGCATTTAAAAATGCACAAATTATAAAAACTTGCTCCAATGATGAAGAAGCTATAAATGACATTGACATGTTATCAGTGTGGTAATAACTCCTCTTGTGGAAGGTTCTGGATCATCTGCATTATCTCCAGGGAGAGGGATGGTGTTTCTAGTCAGAAAATGAGTGACAGTTGTCTGTATGGTCCTTTTCTTTTTCCTTCAGATATTTCTCGGTAACATCTCGCTGCTTTGCCCATCTGCCTGTCAACTTTAGCAAAGCAAACAGTGTTTGGGTCCATGTTTTAAAGCCCATGATTTAGTACAGAAAGAACTTTAACTAATCCTTTCACTGTAAATTTTTTGGGGGGAAACTTCCCTCCTTCCTCTTCTTCATTACTTCTTTCTTCTTCAGCATTTTTTTTTTCACTTCAAAATCTATTATGGTCTGATCTGCTGATGTCTTTCATTGTGCTGTGTATTAGCAACACCAAATTCTAAATTCAGCGTTCTTTGCCATATGGACCATTTTCCCACTGATCTGTTTCATCAGATTATCCTGTCAAATGCTTGGAACATGTTCACTTAACTTGGCAAATTTTCCCAAATCACTTGCATGCATTTTCCCATAACTTCCTCACAGAAAACTATAATGTTCTGGATAAACTGAAGAATATTATAGTTCTTCCACAAATCACATAATCTTACTGCACCTCCATGTGTTGCAGGTTTGCCTAAGCAAACACAGTCATGAGGACATATGCCTTGAGCGTGCTGGTTGGAGTGTGACCCATAGGTTGAATCACTGCTGTTGTCCTATGGGGAGGTAGATGCTCCACTTTCACACCTTGATTTACACAATCTATGATGTCCTGGCATGGAACAATTTGAAACCATTCTTTAAATAACACAGTCATCATCCAGGCCCAGGAGTAGACCAGCAACTAATTTTTTTTTTTTTTTAATGTTTTATAGTGAATTATGTGATAGATTACGTGGAAGAACATTAGTTTTACATTCATCCTATTGTATATTGTTTCATTGCTGTGGTTAAAATCCCCTCCTTGCATCATCAACTAACAAAGGGTATACACTACAATCCTTCCCCGCCCCCCCCCGGTCTTCAGCACACAGCCCCTCTCCCTCTCTGTGTCTAAAGTTCCCAGCAGCTCCATCTCTCCACGTCATCGTCTCTGCCTGCATCTCAGGCATCACTGCTTCTCTGGGTAGGGTCTCGCTCTCCACTCTTCTCCCTTGATGGTCCCAGGGA